CTTTTGACATTCTTCGAAAAGGTTACTTTTCATACTTCGTTTTTCATACTTAATGGTGCAAATAGTAGGACTAGAGAAATTTTTGCTAGGTAGGAGTCATGTTCAGCTAAGACTGTTTTATTTTTCTAACAGGGTGGTTGGCCTTTGGAATGGGTTGCCTTTGGATGTTGTGGAGGCAGTAAATTTGTAAAGGGAATTGATAGAGTTGATGCTTCATCTTTTTTCATACTTAATGGTAAGAATAGTAGGACTAGGGCAATTTTGGCAAGTCATCTAAGTTTTACTTTTCTAACAGGGTGGTTGGCTTCTGGATGTTGTGGAGGCAGTAAATTTAAGTGAGTTTAAAAGAAAGCTTGCTAACTATATGAATGATAAGGGCTGGCTTTAAGATTTTTAAAAACATTATAATAGTTTAGTTTAGAAAATGGGACAGCCAAGATGGACCAACAGGTCCCTTGTCCCTAAAAATTATATATGTTATGTTAAGAAATAGTTTATTTACTAGGAGCCTAAGTAACTCAAAACTGGAGTTTATGACTCTTAGTCTAATGACAAATTTTTGTGATAAATGCAAGAGGGCTGTATTATGAAAAACATCCTTAATATCAATTTAAAACCCTCTGTCTTTTTATCAGAACCTTGAGTACTTGCTGGTGAATATAAAGAATAAACAGGTAAGGACTTAATATTTCTACTATTTTTTCAAAGAATGGTTGAAATCCAATGTTTATCAAAAAGCCCAGAATCTTCAAAACATGTCTTTTTACATTCAGGCTGCCTTGACTAAAGAAAAATCCTAACTGATCTAAGATCACAGTCTTTGCTGTGAAGCTAATTTTTCTAACTTCATGCACCTACTAAGGAGAAGGCATTAACTACATGCAATACTTTACCAGCCTTCTACTCTTAGTGTGCTGAGACTGAATCTGCATTTTGGGGCTGTAGGTACACTAAGAGTGAAGGTCAAATCTCATTTTCAAGCAGACAAGAGTAGCCTACGAATTGGAAATAGGTGCTGTTTTTGCTGCCTTTCCTCTAGTCTGTGAATACAAAATTAGGAGTGGCTATGCAGAGGTAGCCTTATGTAGCTTTGCACAAAATACAAATCACACAGAAATAATAACATTGTTTTTATTTAGTGAGCTGGATTATTCTGGTCAGCAAATTGGATAATAGTTGCAAGTAGAATCGTCACTGTCCATTGGCAAGCTGATGTAACAAAAGCCAATCACTATTTTCTTATGTCAGGAACCTGAGGGTTTATTGGCACATTTAAAAGTGTTGCAGCTTGGAAGAGCAGATTTTATAGAGTTCACGTAGATTGTAATACAAGTTTTGCAATAAATTATGTAGTATTCAGTTCCTTATAAATATTTCTGCCATTTTTGTCAGTGTTATAAAGCCAGATTTTTTTTTTATAGTAGGTGTCTGTGACTTGTTGGCGATAAATTTCAACAATAAATAGATGACACACAATCCACCTGTTTTAAAATCATATATTCAAAACAAGTCAAACAGATGTAGAAAAATTCATTACACTATTGGTAATCACAGTAATATTTAGTGCTTTAATTTTTTTATTTTTTTTGTCAAAGTCCACACAAGTGGTTCAATTACTTTAGAACACCCTTTGACAAGACAAATTATTCTCCTGTACTTTGTTGTTATAATACAAGGCTGTGAAACTCACTTGAGAAATCACTCATTACGGTTAAACAGAGATACTGTTTTACTTCACTTTCACTTTCATTAACTTAACTTACTTGCACTAACTTGATCTCCTATACATATAATGTAAGAATACTCACTTAAAGCAACAAGAAAAATTCAAAAGGTTTGAGTAAAATAATGTTAATTCACAACAATTGAACTACACAACAAATGATTTGCAAACAGTCATGTAAGCAAACTTCCCATAACTATCACTTCTAAAAATAACTTACTTTAATGCTCACACAATATAAACTAAATAATACTCTTGTATTAAACTTAAAGTGAACAGTTGTGCATATCTAATAATAAGCACCTGCTCAAAAAAATACTTACAATATTTTTTTACACTATATACAAACAATATTTTCAGTTCATACATAAAGTCTACTCATACAGTCTGCATCAACATTTGCAGTCCTCTTGATGACTTGAATGTGGAACCTGTAATTCTGGAGATATAACACCTATCTCATGATCCTTCAATGTCTGTTTTGTATCTCTGGATGTATGCAAGAGGCTGATGGTCTGTATGAATTATGAACTCTGAAGTTATGAAACTTCTGGATGGCAGATATGATGGCCAGACTCTCATTCAATCACAGAGTAGTTATTCTCACTACTCAACAGGTTTTTACTTAAATACTTTACTGTAAACAGTCCATTTTCATGTTCTTGTAAGAGTACTGCTCCAATTCCAATGTCTGAAACACTGGCCTGAAAGATGAACAGTTTGTTGAAGTCTGGCATTCTAAGGAATGTCAAACTTCCGAACATGTTCTTTAACTTCTGGAAAGCCATTTGCTGTGGTTGTTCTCACTTTACCTTGTTAGGTAGGCCTTTCTTGGTCAGGTCAGTCAGTGGTGCAGCAACTTCAGCATAGTTTGGGATGAACTTCCTGTAGTATTCCACTAACTCCAGGAATGATCTGGCTTGCCATCTGGTCATTGGAACTGGTGCATCATGTATGTGGGTTAGCTTTTCTTCCATGGCAATTTGTCGGTCACCCACCTTATGTCCAACAAAGTCTAACACAGAATAGCTGATGTACCACTTAGATGGTCTGATGGTCAGATCTGCTGCCCTCACTCGCTTGAACAGCTCTCAACGTTTCTTTAGGTGGTCAGAATGTTGTCCACATAATAGTTGATGTTTATGGTTTTGTGAAACATCTTCCTCATCATGTGGTTGAATGTTGCTGCTGAGTTGACTAACCCAAATGACATTCTCTTGAACTGGTAGCATCCGTCTGGTGTCACAAAGGCTGTCTTATCTTTATATCTTGTCTCCTTCGGGATCTGCCAATAGCCTTTACTGAAGTTGATCTTGGAAAAGAACTTGGCCCCCATCTAGTTTCACCATGATAACCTCTGGGATGCCCATAGGTTTGGAGTTGAACTTTGTCACAAGATTCAGCTTCCAGAAGTCTGTGCAGAAATGGTTTGAATCTTCTCTCTTCTTCATGATTACCACTGGTGAACAGTAGGCTGACTTCAAGGGCTCAATGATTCAAGCTTTTAACATTACTCCAATTTCTTGCTTCATCAGGTCTCTCATCACATAAGGCATGTGGTAGGGCTTCACTTGGACAGGATCCTTGGTCATAGTCTCGATCTTGTATCTCTTTCTTCTGCTTGCCAGTCATTTTTTCACTGATGTTGATAACTTTATATGTCTCATCTTCACCTAGTAGGTCTTCATCTTCTATGAATGTCAATGTCACTAACTTCTGGTTCTGTGTCTATGACAGTTACACTTGCCATTTCCATCTGTGCCTCAGTAGCTGCACCCATTAGGTCTTCTTTATGTCCACTTTCACTTTACAGTCAATTCTGTTGACCATTTCCTGCACTTCAAAATGTCCTTTCCACTGCAGGGTGAATTTGTTGTCGTCTGTGGGTAGCAGAACTAAGACCTTCTGCCCAATCTTGAAATATCAATCCTTGGCCTTCTTTTCATAGAAGTCCTTCTGACTGCCTTGAGCTGCATACAAGCTCTCTCAAGCAAGTTGACAGGTCTCTTCCAGTTGTTTCTGAGGTCTAACACATACTGATATATGTTCCTCATTTCTGACTCTTCTTTCAATACCTGCATCAGACCTCATATTGTTCTTCTGTACAGCAACTCGAGAGGTGAAAATCCTGTACTTGCTTGTGGGCCTTCTCAGTAAGCAAATAATACTGCTTGCAGGTACCTGTCCCAGTCACGTGGTTTCTCCATTTGTTTTTTATAAAAATTTGCATCTAATCTCTTTTTTTTTTTTTGTGACTCAAATATTGCAACTTGTTGCAAAATATACATCTAAGCATGAGATCCATAACCTCCAGTAGGCCTAACTTTTCTGCTTTGCTGGTCATCCATAAGATAGCATCAGAGCTACTGCAGTGAATCGGTCTTATAAGGATGCAAGCTATTAAAGCAAACTACCTACTAGAACTTTTATTTCTTTGATTGTAAGAAAATTAAAGGTGGATAATTTGTATAAGGGGTTTGAAGTCATCCTTAGTTCTGTCAGGTTTCAATTGAATAAGTTCATGGACCTATCAGACTATGTCTATTACTAAACTTTGTCTTGTAAACAGCTTTATGACTTGTCATTTAATATAACATCATTTAGAGTATCAGTAAAAAATTATTAACGCTGCAAATTTGAATATTTGAGATTATTTTGAACAAATAAAATTGTAGTGCTAATTTTGCAAATATACTCTGTTAAATAATTTCATTGTTTAAAAAGAAATTTGTTTAATTCAAGGACAATGTCTAGAATGTGGTTGTATTGTTTCAGTCAGTAATTTTTTTTACTAAAGTTAACTTCATGGTATATCCAGTATTTGTATAAATATTTTATGTTTCAATGCTTTAGGCATGAAGAATACTTATATCTTGATCAGATTAGTCGCATTATTGAGAATGGTCACCAGCGCTTGGATAGAACTGGTACCGGGACTTTGTCAGTTTTTGGAACACAAGCTAGATACAATCTCAGAAATGGTAAGAAAAAAAATTAAATCTACACAAATACATTTTGGTGCCTGAACAATAAAAATAGAATATATTGGAAAATTTTTAGGTCTAAGATAGGAGTAACCTATTCTTCTCAATTTACATGTAAAAATATAGTAAGTATATTATTATTTTAAAAACATAAATTAAGACAAAGCATTCTTTTATAAATTAACATTTTGGAGCATTGTGGACATACATTCTTTCTTATAAATCAGATTTTAACATTTTTTTCAAGAATGTAAAAACATGCATATGTACATCTAGCATAGGATTAAATTATTATACATGCATACGTATTCACTAAACTTGGGCTTTTTCTGAAATACTTACACCTACAACAGCGATAATAATTTAATATCTGCTGGAAATTATCACATTTAGAAGTTTTTTTTATTATGAATCTAAATAACATTGTTAAGTAATAAAATGTCTTTGCCATTCATGACTATGTTAAATACTCCATGAGTGTAATAATGTTAATGAAAAATGAAAGGTACTCTGTCAGGCTATAGCGACATAGTTAATGAAAGGTACTCTGTCAGGCTATAGCAACATAGTTAATGAAAGGTACTCTGTCAGGCTATAGCAACATAGTTAATGAAAGGTACTCTGGATGTTTTTAAGTAATTGAGTTTGGAAAAATAACTTTAAAAAGTAGTTTTGTTTCGTTTGTGTTTTTTTGTTACAGTGACCTGAGAAATTACCTATTGTGTGTAATACAACTTCAGCAAGCATATTTAAATTAAAAAGATGTAAATATAAATGAAAAGGAAGGTTAGATAAATATACATAATCTGAATAATATATATGCATAATCTTATATGATAATCATTATTTTAGTCATTTATGTCTCATAAATAGTCTTTCTTTAGGTTTGTTTAGTAAACATCCCAAAATATGTTTAGCAGTGTGCATAGGTTCTTCCAACTAATTGCCAAAGTTCACCAAGTTAGGGGACCATCTTAATAGAATCTCAACTTAATGGTTATCTACTTAGAATAGAAGAGTGAAATCATATGGATAAACATTACAAAATATTACTTTCAGGTCCACTTGTAAAGAAAGGGTTCCAAACATTAGAATAGTCACAAAAATCATTACTGAGATATGAAAAACAAGCTGGAGGACGCATACTCAGAGTGGCAATTCTTATTGGTCGAAATGTTGAATTTGTTTTGACGTTTTAAAGCTTGAATGTTTTCTGTGTAAACTGTATGGTGAATCGTATGGGAATCAAATTTTGGAAACTAAGGCTCTGCCTGAAGTGCCATTTCTTGTTGATTTTTTTTAATTTGGTATACCAGTCACAATTCGAGTGTCTTGACGTTGGCTCTTTAATAAAAATAAAGTCTATAGTTATCTATCAAATGAGACTGACTGTTGATTATTTGATTAACTCTGAGATTTGTCAAACAAAGGAGAAATTAAGTTTGTGGATAATACTTGAGCATTTCACCTGTGCTCCAAATTAGCGCACAAAAATTCACTGCAGTGTTTATCTTTTACATCTTATGTTTGTTTTGTATGCTTTCAATTAGTGCTAGTTCATGTATATTTTTTGCAATCGGCATTGTGGGTGGAAAGGTTATTTTCCTCTGTTAGAACTGTCAACAGTGTGTCTCTTGGTAACAATCAAAAAGTAACAAGGTTGAATGGGATCATTGAGAAGTCATTTAGAAATAGAGGAGTACAAGATTTCAAAGTTTTCTTTGAACAATATCAAATATGAACATTAGAGTTTAGTGAGTGTGCATTCCTCATGAGTGACTGTATGTTCTAATTCAGCAGCTCAAATGTTTAAATCTATCTTTTGTGTACGTAGCGAGTCTCATTTCATAATTTGTTTTAGTTCTTTCACTTTAATCACTCAAATTAACGTATCTATTTTCACTTTTAAAACCCCTAATTCATTCCCTACTTCTTTTCGGATCCTTGCCAGGATCAACTTAATACCTTTGTCAACTCATGTGTTGTTTATAATTAGCTTAGCTGTGTTTACGGTATGATCAGCAGTATAAATACAAACACAACATAATTTTAGTTAACGTCCTGTTTAAGAGTGCAGACTCGCTGCACTTTTCAAGGCATAGACCCCTGATCCCTCTGGATCCTGTTTGCTACTAATTATCAGAAGTGAAACACACATCTGACTGTAGGTTAAATACAACAAGAATTATTTTAACCTAATATTTTGAAATATGTGATATACAGTTCATACATACAATAATAAACAATTATTTTTATAGAGATTTTTGGTGCACCTTACTGCCTTTGGGTACTGGAGCTTTGTAAATCAGGCCCCCTAGTGCTTAAAGTAGTATATCTTCTTGAAAATAGGAATAAAGAGGATGTTGTGGTATAATGAAAGTTTTCAGCTTATTACTATATTTGTACAGGTATACTAAACTACTATAAAATACGTATAGAATAAATTGTCACATAACTTTACTTCTTTCAATACAAAAAATAAAGGGTGGAATACCACAAGAAAATGTTATATATCAAGGTGTAATTATATTTTAATATTTTTGATGTTTACATAAACTTGAGATAAACTTCCATACATTTGGTAGGTAACATAATATGAGCGGTGTGCTATTTATTTTTTTATTTTTAGCATGTTTGCTTAATTTTTCTGCAGTTCTGATCCAGTGAAAGTTTAATCTGGAAATTATGGAGTGCTAATAGCATAATTTATGCATAGTTTTCTGTTCAATTAGTGTAAAACTAGCTTAAATCAAACTGTGTATAGTATAACGGTGACATAAATTTTAACATTTTCCTATTGGATTGGAAACGTGTAGTAGAAAGAGTAATAAAACACTAGATAGCATATATGGTGTGTTTTTATAACCAGATTAGTTTTTCTTAATTCAGTTTTAGTTCTATGCAAATATACGTGTTACAGTTACATAAATTTAGAAGTATTGTTAAATAAAAAATTAGGTTCACTTTCACCTCAGATTATGTAATTATCTCTTTCTTTTTGAATTTTTATATATTTATAGCTCTGTGAATCCTGTACTTTACTAATAATATGTTCTAAATCATCTGTTACACATCATATTATTTTGACTTCAATTTCCTGTTGTTACAGCTTTGATTTTGTATGAAATAAAACAATTTTGTGATATTTATTTACAATAACAGATACACTGCCCTTGTTGACTACCAAAAGGGTCTTCTGGAGAGGAGTTCTTGAGGAGTTGCTCTGGTTTATTAAGGGAAGTACAGATGCAAAAGAACTTTCAGAAAAAAACATTAATATATGGGATGCTAATGGATCTCGACAGTTTCTTGACAGCCTAGGATTCACAGAAAGAGAAGAAGGTGGGAAATGTTTATATGTATCAGCATTTCACAATACCTGTTGCAAAAAACATGCTTGCCCTTTCAGTGTGGAGGCATATTTATGTGATGGTCTGTCCCAAACTTTGTTAGTAAGAGCATCCCAAGAGTTAGTGATGGGTGTTGTTGATTAAGAACAGCTCTCAAGTAGCTCTGCTCAAAATTCAACAGCAAACCAAAGCATTCTTCAAAGGATACTGATATAAAAAAGAACAATGAAAAAATTAATTCCATTTTGTGAACATATTTAAATGTTTCAACTTATAATATTCATATTGAAAATATTTGCCTAAATATAGTCATATGTTTTTGTAAGTATGTCCTTAATGGTCATTCTAGAAATCTCAAATCATGGTTTCATAAATTTAAATAACCTGAAGGATTCTTCTTGAAAACAAATGTAAACTACCTACAACATTTGTTACATATAAAAAAAGACTACATATGTGATATTTAAGTTTTATTGATGGAAAATTTTAAATATTTATATACAGACTTCGTCATATATGTATAGATAAGATACATTTAGAATATGTACTCTTGGACTTTTTCATATTTTTTTTACAAATTTGAAGTGCACTTTATATTTCATGCACATTCTACACCATCTGACTTATCAGGTAATATTTGAATCATAAAGTAATACATAGTGCATCTGTATTGTTTCATGCAGTTAAGTCATCTTGAGCTATATTGTAATTTTATAAAATGAATAGAGCTTTCAAATAAATTTGCCCCAAATTGTCTCATTCAGAAAATTATAATATATCAGTTTAGAATACTAATTTAATTTTCTGTTTTTCAAATGAAAATTCTATGTAGTACAATTCATTTGCTCACTTTCTCGTCATATGTGTGTGTGTGTGTGTGTGTGTATATATATAGACACACATCGGTTATGTACAATTCAAACACATCGTCACTGTGAACGGCCGTGCAACGAATATTTACTCGAAGACGTTTGCTAGCTGTGCTGGTGTACGATGTGTATAGCATGTTTAGCCTATCATGTCTAACAAACGGTGTGTGCATGTATGTGTGTAAGTGATACTTGACGTGTGTGTGTGTGTGTATATGTATTATATATACAGGTCAAGCAATCTGTGTTCAAAATGTTGTGATCTAAGCAGTTCATAGCCTTTGCCAAGGCTGTAGGGGTCAAGGTACCCCACACACACACACACTTGATTAGACTATCCCAAAGGACCCATGCTAGTGAGTGGTGAAGCCGTGAACAAAGCTTCTCACCGATCTGTCAGGGTATCACTATCCGAGGGTCCACGGCTGTGATGCGCCTTTTATAAAGGCTAGGTGGTTAAGGTTTCTGTGGTTTATGAAATTGACATGTAAAAATTTTAGCATTCTCTGCACTGTGAAACATTCTAAATAGTAATTATGAATGAAAGAGGAAATGCACCTGTACAAAGAAATGTTACCGCCCTGTAGATGATGTGCTAGAATGCTTTAGAAGTGCTTTCTGCTTCTATGCATAAAACTTGGAGTCTAGTCTCGGGCCTGGTATGGCCTAGCGATAATTGGATTAGTATGTTTGCCAGTCATTTTGTGTGTAAAAATCTAACATTTGCATTATGTGATCAGTTATTAAAAACGGATAGCACAATCGAAAAAAATTGGCTGTAGAATCCAAATATTAGATCTGTTATTTCCAGTAAGAGTATTGGTCTTTCGGTGATAAAAAAATTCTGATGCTTTTCAAGCATTTTTAGCCTTTTCTGATACAATATATTTTTTTTGGTTTATTTTTCAAGAGACATGTTTCATTAAAATAATTTAAAACTCCAAAATAATGGAATTTCCATAAATTTTGTGCTATGGCCCAATTCAAGCTACGTTAAATTCTTGCCCAACGAATACGGCTAGATACCTAGCTATGATTGGCCTGTCAATGAGGTGGCATTCTGAAAATTATTAGCTGTCTAGTAGCGAAGGGTGTATTAATGATTATGGCAACAGATTTTCAATTTGGTGTGAAACACGTGTGCAGAACAATTACAGGCTGTTCATGCTAATAGACCATTAGTAGCATTTTCAGATTCACTTCTGGACGTACCTCACAGAATATTACTCCACCATCTTCATCATCCCTCTCTCACTTCCCTATGTAAACCTTTCCTCTTCTTCCTTTTCATAATGATGGTCCTGTTGCCTTTTTTGTTGTTGTTCTTGTTGAATTTTTCAGATCATCAACATTTGGTTTTCTTCATTTAAGAAAATGTTTAACTTTGGGAAATTTTTATGAGATTTGGGTGACTTTTATGCTGTGTTCTCCGCAACTTTGTATATCTTTGAGTAACACTGGTCTTTCATGGGTAGACTTATTGTAAGTTCAAAGTCCTTTTGATTAGGAAAGGGGGGAAGAATAGATTAACTGGCAGTGATGCATAGATTTTCTTTCATTATTTATTTTGAAGTGGAATAAAATGTTACTGTTATACCATGCTTTAGAGAAAAATTAAAGTTTTAAATGGTCTGAAAAATATGAAATGTTATTTTTCGTGAAATATGAGTTCACAACAAAATAAATTGAAATATATCGATATATTTAGTTTCCTTTCAATTTGTATAACATCCACTATTTATTTCAGTGATTTTTCTGATAACCTCCACTTCAGAGTACATTTTACAATGAGCTATTGGATTGACCCCTAAAAATGCATGTTTTTGGGGCCCAGCTGGCTCCCTAAAAAAAAAACAGTTAAACTCTAATTTGTATATTTATATTTACTTTGTGTGTGTAATGTTATGTAAATACATTTCTTGGATTAGGTCTAGTATTAGTTCTATTATTGAGTAATAGAAGGTTTCAAATTATAGATTTAAAATATTCATATGTAACATTTTTGATACTCAGGAGACTTGGGTCCAGTATATGGCTTTCAGTGGAGACACTTTGGTGCAGAGTATAAACACAAAAACACTGATTACAGTGGAGAGGGTATCGATCAACTTACCCAAGTGGTTAATTTGATAAAACATGATCCTTACAGCAGAAGGATCATATTAACTGCTTGGAATCCTACTGGTAAGTTATTCTTGAAAATATTTTTTGTAACATTTTTTCATTGCCAGATAATTTTACGCTTCCAAAGAAAATACCTCTGGAGGTTGTGCTGAAGAGTGGAGAACTTTCATTGTTTTGTTTTTTTATTTAAGACGTAACTGATACTCTTACTTTCTTGCAAATATTATAATTTAGTTCAAATTATTTTGGTCAATTGAATCAGTTTACTTGGATTATGCAAATTTTTTACTAAATTAGGCTTACATATGTTTACCCTGCTGACATAGTGTCAAGCAGATAGTAGACTTGTAATAATGGCTGGAGGTGGCTTGAATGAGTAATGAAGAAAAACTTTAATATAAGTTTAACATAACAGCAAATGTACAAGGTTTTTGTCATCATCAGGTATCTTGTCGAAACGTTGTACAT